ATAATTGCTAAAAAGAGACTACAGTACAAAGTGTCATACTTTAAGGGGTTGAATCACATGAGGGAAACTAAGAGGGGCTGCAGCATATGAAGTTTCTGTTTTGGGGGCTTGGACACATTTTTCCCAAACTTTTTACCACTATTTCACAATACAAATAATGACAAGTATAAAAATAGGTGTGTGAAAAAAAGGCATGTCCAAAGTTTTTTTATGTTTCAAAGAAAAGGAAAAGGAAAGAAAGAGAAATTTGTGTCTTGTTTTTTATATGGAAAAAATTAAAAGAAAAAATATAAAAAACAATCCTAAAAAGAAATTAAGAAAAATTAAATTATGTACTTACAACAGGAAAGGTAAGCATGCAAATATATGACACTAAATTATCTAACAATCAGAATGCAGATAAAGAGGTAGTATAATCAAAGCAGTTCAAGCATCACCAAAAGAATATATACATGTCCAGAATAAAAAATTTTAAAAAAGAAGAAAAAGAAATTGACCTTTAGAAACCAATCTCTCATCTAGCTCAATCCTTAGCATCATCTTTCAATATATATTCATCATGATCTCCTCTATTAGCACCATGAGGATATGAAGCTCCAACAGCGATGAGCTGCTGTGATGTAGTCACCATACGCCGATGATCGTCCTATAGATGGATCAGATCGATGAAGAGTTCCTATGACATATTGTAGCGATGCATCATAGTAGGTGCTGCGATGTCAACTTCATCCTCATCTGTGCTATACTCTCTCCCAGAGATTGCAGCGCCAACAGAGTAACATTGGCACCAGAAGAACTAGAGATCTCTTTGCAATAGGCTAGGATCCAGATGATTGCCTAGTAGTAGACTCCCCTTCCTCACAGGCTCATTTGAAAGTACAGCTCTCCCCTTATCAAATTGGTCAAAATCAAGAGAGCAAATTCTTTGATCCTAGCAAATCCATGTAATCAACTACGAATAAATCAACTGATTCTTCTACTTGGCCCTCTTCTCAACAACCTCCCTAGCAGTAGACGCAACTATAGACATCCAAACAAATATGACATATGTTAGATCAAAAGATTGACCACTAGCTATCCAATATATTATAATAACGTCCTAAATACTAAGTGCAGTATATGTTGCACTTGGATATAAGTCAAAATTAAGAAAGAAGTTGAGAATGATATACTCAAGTTTCAGATATCCTGAGTTGAAGACCTCCAAATGAATCTTCTCGCAGAGAAAGTTTACTATCTGATTTTAGTCCTTAGAACCGACTACAATATCCATAGAGTAAGCAAAAGGATCCTAGGAACTTCTCTGTGGGTTGGGACATTAAGGACCTTTTGGATGTATTCTGCACTCAACTTAATGGTCTTCCCTTGCACCTTGGTGACTGCACTATTGGATCCATGCACCTAAACATAATTCATGTAGAACTCACGCGCAAAAGTGATATTTGCTCTCTCGGCACTCCTCTTCATCATTTGGCTCAATCCAACTCTTTCGAGGAGTTCCACGAAGTTGGCATATTTCTGAAACGTTGAGAGTATCAACTCCCCGCTCATAGATAATGAAGAGCTCTCGATATCGCTTTTGGATCTCCCTTAAAGAAAGTTGTCCTCCACAGATCCTCGTGTGAAGCGATTCTCTTAATGATTCAAACTCGAATTGATCACACAAATGAGATAAACCTCACAAGCAATAAATCACAACAAAAGCTTAAATATACTCGGAGAAATCAAAAAATTTAAGAGAGGAATAGGTAAAAGAGTGAAAAAGGTTAAAAAAATAAAACTTACCTCTCATTTTACCACTACCAATCGATGGTCAATCGTCGATGGTTGGGTTTGACCATCGATGGTTACCAAAAAAAATTATTTATATAAGAAAAGAAAGGGAAATTTTGAAAAAATGAAAAATAAAAAATGATACAAATGAGTGTAGAAAGAAGGGTAAGTTTTTTTTTCCTTTTTCACCCCTTTTACTGATTCCTCTCTCAAAGATTTTGATTTCGCTGAATATCTTTAAGTTTTGGTTATGATCTATTGCTTGTGAACGGTTTATCATCTCATTTGTGTGATCAATTCGAGTTTGAATCATCATTAAGAGAATAGTTTCACACAAGAGAACCTGTGGAGAACGACTTTCTTTGAGGAAGATCCAAAAACAATAGGAGAAGATCTTCATTATCTATCAGCGGGGAGTCGATACTCTCAATTTACAGGAATATGCCAACATTATGGAACTCTTCGAAAGAGCTGGATTGAGCCTGATGATAAAGGGTGCTGAGAGAGCAAATATCATTTTCGTGCGCGAGTTCTACATGAATTATGCTCGGGAGTATAGATCCAATGTTGCGGTCGCTAAGAGGTTGTCAGGATCCTTTTGCTTACTCTACAGATATTATAGTCAGTTCTAAGGACTACAATAAGATGGTAGAGTTTCTATACGTGAAGATTCATATCAGGGTCTTCAACTCGGAATATCTGAAACATTAGTATATCATTCTCAACATCTTTCTTAATTTGACTTATATCCTAGTGCAGTATACACTGCACTTAGTATTTGGGATGTTATTATTTATTATATTATACCGAATAGCTAATGGCCAGTCTTTTAATCTAGCACAGGTCATGTATGTTTGGGTATCCATAGTTACATCTACTGTTAGGGATGTTACTGAGAGAAGGTTAAGTAGAAAACTCAGTTGGTTTATCCGTATCTAATTACAGGGATTTGCTAGGATGAGAGGATTCCCTCTCTTGATTTTGACCAGTTTGAGAAAGGGATAGCTATACTTTCGGATGAGACTGTTGGGAAGAGTATAGTTGTGAGGAAGGGGGAGTCTATTGCTAGGTAATCATGTGGATTCATGCTCTTGAACATAATTCATGTAGAACTCGCGCACGAAAGTGATATTTGCTCTCACAACACCCTTGATCATTAAGCTCAATCTAGCTTTTTTAAGGAGTTTCACGATGTTGGCATGCTCTTGCAAATTGCGAATACCGACTCTTTGATCATAGATAATGAAAAGCTCTGATACCGCTTGTTGGATCTGAGATGCAAACCTAGAGCGGTGCATAGATTTGTTACTGTTTTTCGCTAAAACACAGAATATGCGGTGAAAAAAATAGAAAAATAAAAGCGAACAACCAAACAAAAAACGAACTAAAGAACACGCCAGATTTTTATAGTGGTTCAGATGACAATCATATGTCTACTCTTCCTACTCATGAAAGGGCTCTCATTACGCCAAGAGTTGTCATGAATCACAACCCGATTCAGTAAGCTTACAAAGACTGCACCATCAAATCTATATGAAACTAATCATCTAATCTAACTCTCCATAATGAGTAACACCTAGCCCTAGCAATCCTCAATTATCACTGGCTTGAGTACGTCGTAAAAAACAAGTTTAAAACAAACAACTAAAAATAGTTGAAGCACATAATCATAAAGATCTCATAGCCCTTTTGAATAAACAAGTCGTCATTTAAAAGATTGAAGCGAAGCTCGATGAAGAACAATGTAGATATTGCATCCAAGAGCAACTCCTCTCGCTAAGATGATCTGAATATGCTGAGCGCGGCGAGAAAGAGTTTGTTGAAGCTCTAGGGGTTCGAATATCCAATACAAACTTCTTCTCACAAACCCTAGAAATTCTCTCTTAAAGTTCTCTCAAAATCTCTCCCTTTTTAATCTATCTCTTTCAATCTTATATAGCCTCTAATTAATCAGGAAAGAGATATCCAAATCATGGTTAAAGTTGGAGATGAAAGGAATCTCTTTAAATCTACCAAAAATCGTCGTCACCATCAATGGTTTCTCACGACCATCGATGTGTCCTAAGCACCATCTATGGGTGCCTATAAATCATCAACGGTTTGATTTCATGTTTCTCTAAATCTGTAATTGGCCACTGTACACCACCAATGAGATGATGACCATCGATGGGTCACTACTGACCATTGATGGTTCAAAATTAACTTTCTACATTTCTGCAATTGATTAATGTACACCATCGATGAACATTGACCACCCATGGGTCCTTGACTATCGATGGTTCTAAAGCCAACTTCAGTGCAAATGCTGATTTTCGTGTCGTTTTGTGACCTTCGTATACCTAATTTTACATGTACCATATCATCTTAAACAAATATTAATATCAAATGAGAGTTTGATACTACTCAAACAAAATCTATTGTACGGACTACGTCCTAACATCTTCACAAAGACACTGATCGCAAGGTTATTAATGCTTTTAGCCATGTTATGAAACCACAGCATGTATGCTGTAGGAAATACTATGACTATAACTTAAATTAACAAAACAAAATCCATAAGAAATCTCGAAAAGGTCCCATAATCCAGAAGGAAATAGAAAATATTTATTTTCCTAAGAATAAACTAGTTACAAACATCAAGTAGCACTTTCGGAAAATGTCCAAGTCACCTTTCCATCATTTGCATCAAGTAACTTCTACAATTATTCTGTTTATGTAGCCCGCTATTCTTTTTTTTCCTTTTTTTGTCTTTAACCACAAGTGTCCCCAACCCATATTGGAGATGGGACTAATCATGTTCGGAGCTGGTGACTAACCCTCTCAACAAGTGCTGCTTCCAGCTTTCGAACTCTTGCCAACAGGCAAGAGCTCGCCTGGGGACCAGCTTGCCTATCACTGAGCTAACAACTTGTTGGTTATGTAACCTGCTATTCCAAAATAATTAATTTACCTACCAAAGTTCACATGCAACTCGACGTACTGAAATGCGTCAAGCAGGTATTTTTAGATATTGTCTAATTTTAGCAATTTATCATGGATGTGCTGAAATTTTTTATCATGGATGTGCTGAAAAAATCATGTCAAACAATGAAACAACTAAGCTTGGAACAAACTAATCAGAAATAATCACTAAAAGATGAAAATCTAGCCAAATTGCAATCTGTTACCAGGAATGTAGTTCTCTTCATATGTCCAGTAAAGTTGAACAATTTTACATAGTTAAATACCTTGTTGGAAAAAGAATTCCATATCTGACAACCACTCCCAAACACCACAAGGGAAACAGGTATATATTCCAATTCCAAGGTTCTGGAGGATTAGATTTAAAGCAGCGAGTAAAAGAATCCTGCACAAATAAATGAAAGCAATGACAGTTACAAAAAGATAATTTAGTAGCCCCCCAAAAAAATGAAACGATTGAGGTAGAAATTTGTTCTGAAAAATGAAACATTGAGCAACAAGCGTCCAAAATGTTTAAAATGGTATAAAGAGCAAAGAGAGTTCAAATTATAATACACAGTGATACTTCAGAGAGAGAACCTGTTATCTAAAAGATAATGCAAATAGAATCAGGGTACGTGATCATATAAAAGTATGGAACTTCCTTCAACCCTTGTATTTCTTCGTTTTATCCAAAAGACTAACAAATTTTCATGGATGCAAATAAAGTAATGCGTGTAGCGTACATACTGCATCTTGACAGCTAGAATATATTGCATCCTTTAGCAATATCTAGATATATAAATGCTATGGTTGAAAAAAAATACAAAACATCAGTACAATGCTGCATTTAGTCGGTTTAAAAGTTTGTAGACATAACATCACCAGTTAATTTAGTGCCAGTACCAACAACAGTAATGAAAATTGCATAAATTTAAGGATTAAATTAAACAAAAAATTTCGCTAAATTTGTCCAAACAATGTCAAGGATTCAGAATGTCAATAACTTAATACAGAAAAAAAAAGTAAAAAAAAAAGAAAGAAAGAAATTGCATGTCAACCCAAATCTAGAAATGAATAATAAAACAAGTCAGAGAGAGGGAGAAAAGGAGGGATTGAACTGACATCGATGATGGCGCCCGCTGCTTCCGCCAATGCAGGAGAAATATTGAGCAAATCCTTACTGAATAAAAACGCGATAACACCAAACAGAACCTTAGGGTTTTTTATGACGAACGAACTAAACTTCTAGCTGAAATCTCAAAAAAAAAAAAAGTTATTCAGGAAAACAGAAGAGAGAAGAGAGATCGGTACAGGTGAAGGCGCTTGGGGCTTTCACTGATTGATTCGGAGGGGAGGTACTCTTCGATGTTGGGGCGATCCAGATCGATATCTGAGGTCGACGACGACGAAGAATCCAGGCGAGCCATGAGGTTAATTTATTCGTATTTTATGAACCGGATCAAAAGGAGTGAAGAAGAACCGCAGAGGATAGCTGCTCCTCTATTTTCTCTCTTCGGACTCTACTCAATTTTATTTCATTTTGTTTTAGTCACTTCGCTAAAATTGAGTTAAAGTTGCGCATCTCCAAAGGGATTTTATCACGTGCGATGCCAGTGGGGGGTAGGCGGGGTGGGGATTTGGTCGGTGCTGGTAAGCGTGTCAGCCGTGCGGCAGACGCGATAGCAAGGGGAATTTGGTTGCATGACGTGGATATTTCCAATATCAGACTCGGCTTTCTATTTACGTAAGAAAAAAATATAATGATATTCAGACCATAAATCAAAGACGAACAACTAGTTCATGTTGAGAGGAAAGAGATGGAAAAAAATAGCATTAGTCTTTTTCATTATTTTGAGTGAAATGAGAAAGTTAAGAGTAAAAGCTCTTAAAAACTTGCATGGATATGAGCTCTTATCCATCTTTTTTTTTAATCTTTTTTTATCTACTATTTTTTATCTGAGATTCGTACTAACATGTAAAAAAACATCCGAAACACTTCAATACATAAATCCCAACCACACTGTTGAAATGCAGCTCAACATCTCATAGCAGAATCAATGAATAAAAAAATGGTCAATGAAAGGTCCTCTTCACTCCCTTTTACAAGAGCTTTACTAAGATAGTAAATAGATGACAATATGTTCATCCCTTAATTTTTTCTCTCCTTGAACGGATGTTCTTCTAATGATTTATATCATTATTGAATTTTTTTTTTTTTTAACGAGAGATGGTATACTAAAGAAAACGTGGTCAAATGTCTTAAGCTCAGGTGCTTATTTCAGTCACCGCATCTGAATTTGCTATAAATAGATGCACTAATGAACAAAATATTATATTTTTCATAATGTATAAAACTCGTATGGACCCATAAATCTCCATTCATATCTTAAGTGTCTGCCATTTCCCGCATTTATCAACGCCACAGACATGAGGCAGGCATGGCCATTAAAAGATTAGAGACTCGTGGTACTGGAACAGGAAATTGACCCATCAATCAATCATTTTAAAGGGAAGAGTCCCCATCCTGCAGGATCTCATTCAATTTTGAGCCTTTCGCACTCTCAAAGAGACACCAAACGAGTGCTAATTTATCCATGCAGCAAACTATCCACACAAAATATAAACCTAATCAAATATAGAAGAAATAGAGAGTTTATTCTCTTCAAGGTCTCTAAACTGTTATAGACTATAACGTGTATGTCAACGACTCAACTGTATACCGAACTGTATTTCTTGGGCCTCCTCGGCTTGAAGTACAACATGAGGATGATGGATCACTTTGTCACCTCTTGCTGATAAGGTATATTCCAGAAGCTATGGCAACCCCGGCAACCCCAAGGTAGGCTAAAATCTTCATGTTGGATGTTCCCTCACTTTTTGCAGGAACTTCCATAAGGTGTTTTCCCTGCAGCATAAACTATGGTAAGATTTCAGCGAGGCGTATTATCCTTCTCTTCTATTTTTCTTATGTATTCATTTACAGCTTTAAGAAGGAAAACAAGAGGTAGGAAGAAGTCATGTCTGATAAACAAAACCAGAATAAAAACAGAAATAATAAAATTAAGAGCTACATTTTTGGTCAGAACTGACTGATTACTCATGGACATAAATTATAACCCTAAACCCTCACCACATCTTGAGCAATGGCAAGGACTTTATGGTATCATAGCAACCCAGGTTCCAATCTTACTGACCATGAATTTAAAGCGGATTTTAAAAATAAAAGATGCCCAAGTTCGAGTCTTAATGACCACGAATTCTAAAGCGGGTTTTAAAATTAAAAGATACCACAACCTATAGGGGCGTGTTACAATATAAAATTATAACACTGACATTCACCACAACATTCAGAATATTAGTGCAGTCGCAGAGACTTTAAGACTCTTCATTTCTTAATTCAGACTACAAGGTTACTGGCTAGTCAGGAACTGAGTTCAATTTCATCTTTCCCCTTTCTACACTTCAGCATCGAGAAAATATTTTGGATGTTGCATCTTCAGATTCATGAGCTTAAACAGTATGACAAGTAGGTAACTTCTCTAAGTATCAAATTGGCCTCTTACACTCTATGAAAGTTCCTCTTTTGTTCATAGTACACTAGTTGGTGTTACTTTGATAGATGCCTTTTTCAAGGAGCTAGTATGCTTCCCCTTTCAAATAGGAAAAGAAAAACTTAGATAGGTTTTAAACTACCGAGATCACTCTCAAAAAGATTGCAGAGTTTGCAATCAACCAAAATCTACTACCTGTAATCCACTCTTACTATACCGCCATAGCTCCCATGATGATATAAATAACGGATATTGTGATGTGAAACAGGACAGTGGGTCTATCAGCATCAGCGATTTAATTCAAACTAGTTTGCCGTCCGTGCAAAGCACGGTTTTTTTTTTTTTTTTTTTTTTTTTTTTTTTTTTTTTTTTTTTGCTACAGTAATCCCGCTTTTTTTAATATGCACGATTTGAATTTTTTGGAGTGCTACAGTATCCCGCTCTGCCACAGTACCTGTTAAATGTTACAGTATACCCGTGTGCTACAGTAATATTTTTAATTAGTTATAGCTACAGTAATAATGCTACAGTAAATGTTACTATAGTATTTACTGTAGCATGAACAGTAAATCTCTGATCATCCTATTTGTATAAAGGAATAGATAACATTTCGCTTCACCAAATTTCATGATCTTTGGCAGAAATTAAATTCAAAACAACTAATATGACAGATGGATTTAACAAAGTTTGCATCAATAATTATGAATAATTTCCATCTCAATCAATTTAATTGTAATATTCATTATCAAGCATAAGTTCTACAATCAATATCAAATTTTAACAGTTACATGCTCAATTACTCTCAACTCACAAATATAATCTAAGCAGTGAATATATGATAAGAGTTTAGAGATGGAAAACTCATGCAATTAACTAATAAAATGAGATTAACAAAAAATAGAGAGAAAACGAAACCTTCTTCGACCTGAACAGGCTCGACGTGAGGGACCTCTGGAGGTGGTGCGACAACGTTGAACTGGATGACGACGCGGCGGCGAACTGAGCGACGACAACGACGGCGACTGAGCGACGACGACGGCGGCGAATCTGAGTGACGACGACGGTGGTGAATCTGAGCGACGACGATGGTAACGGGTCAACGTGTAAACTGGCGACATGGGTGACGAGAGAACATGGTCGACGAGTGGACGTGACGGGTGAGACGACAACGGTGGCTATTTGAGGTGGATTTGACGGTTTATGGAGGAAAGGGTGGCTGCTCGAGGTAAGGAGAGCAGGAGTAAGTTCGTCGGGACTGTTCGAAGTGGGGGGTGATTAGCGGGTCTGCTCGAAATGGAAGGGCGCAGGGGAGGAGGCGACGACGGAGGTTAAAGGGTGGCTGCTCGAGGTGGAGGAGAGCAGGAGTAAGTTCGTCGGGACTGTTCGAAGTGGGGGGTGATTAGCGGGTCTGCTCGAAATGGAAGGGCGCAGGGGAGGAGGCGACGACGGAGGTTGCTGGAGGAGGAGAAGAGCGGGGGCGGTTGTTTGGGAAAACGAAGAAGAAACATGGGAGGGTGGCGGTTGTTTGTGGAAGAGGAGTCAGGGGAGTCGGCCTAGGGTTTCACACCCATCGGCCTAGAGTTTCACACCCGAGGCTTCACACCAGTAATGAGTTAACAAAAATTTTCATTGATTCAAATCTTCTTTTCCTAACTCTGATTACAACAGTCTTTTAAAGAGAAAAAATTACAGATTTTGAAATCCTTCAAATCACTCAAATTGTCACAACTGACTCTACTACCAAATTTGACCCAAAAATTCAAAATTCAAAAATCAAAATTAAAATCCTACCAAAATAGAAAATCTCTCAAATCTCTCACAATTAAAACTAAATTAAGATGTGGTCAAACTTGTCAAATCTTCCTTATTCAAAACTAAAATAAAAGAAAGTCAAATAACAAATATGAATAATTATCGTTATTGTCCTCATCATTCTCCCCGGATGGGAGAAAACTCGACTCCGTCGAGTTAGTTGCAGAAATTTGTCATCTTTAATATACTCTGCCTACATCTTAATCTGTCATCAGTTACTTTCCTACATCTCAAATCATTAGCTAGATTGCATCGTAAATTCACCATCTAAAATATTATCAAAATCCACTGCTACGTGAGTGAATATATAGAAGTGAGGTAAAGTGAAAGAACTCTCAGAAACAATAGACTAGGGTCAGGCTTATATTAGTGGACTGTCAATAAACATTGTGAACTGCTTAATCAATCAATATTGAGAATAGAACTATGACCAAATCGATAATATAAATGTTGCCATTAATTATTTCAAGAGTTAGAAAAGTTAATAAATATCATGTCAAATCTCAAACAGCTATAAAAGAAACTACAATGGACAAGTCCAAACCATCTCAAACATTAACAATTTTAAATTATGTCCTGACTCCATATCATACATTTCAGTTAACAATGTATTTATTCAAATTAGATCATTGATTCCCTAATATATCATCAATGCAAATCAAAACAAAATAATGCAAATCAACTCAAATGACTATGTATGACATGCAAACTCGACAATGCGATCAATGGCCGATGTAAACTCAATGAAGTGTCTAACATACATGAAGTCCTCTATCAAACAGAATAATTAGACGTTTCTTCGTTAATATGCATAACAAATTTCTTGTTCTAACAGTGATAGTGAGGAACATGCAAACAAATGCATGAAAGAGGAGTGTTTTTGTGCGCTTAACATAAGAGAGAAAGGAAATACTTTGCAAGGTATGTGGTTCATTTAAACTGTCAAGCTTAGGTCGAATATCAATGAAAACACTCGTGCTCATACTTGTATCACTAATCACTATATATTCCCAAAATGGATCAGTGTATGTGTGACTGTCGGGACAATGCATGGTGGTTTGATATCTAATATGGGAGTTATTTTACTATGCTAAGTTTGGGATTCAACTTCCATACAGATATCTGAGTGAACGTGTTGGGTGTCGTGTATAAATTCATGTTTGTCCGGGAGGACTTCGTGGAGAACATCAACAACATTTTCAATCACTGGAGTGAGTTCAGGAGGAGTTGGAGTTTCAATTTCAGAAACAACTTCAGAGACAACATCAGTGAACTCCGTGATCAAATTGGGAGTTTGGGGAATAATCGGAGTGTCGTTATGACATGAAACTTCAATCAAGTCCACAATTGCAGGGGTAGTTTCAGAAGAAACGGAAGTGCATGGTTTTTTAATTTTACTATCCCGGATTTTCTTGTCAGAGTTAGATTCTGTCAAATCTACGGTTTGGTTAACAGTTTGGTTAACGGTTTCCTCAAGAATAGATTTTGATTCCGTTATAGACGACTTATTAATTTTAACTAGAGGGAGGTATTTCCTTTTTAGCTCGTCGGTCATTTCTCGCCAAGTTAAAATTGGTAACTCAATTCTAATATACCTTAACATTTCGAGTTTGGACCAATATTGACAGGCTGACCGGTAAGCTTCATTGCTGCAAAATTAACTTGTCGAGGTTCTGTCAGGACATACCCATCAAAATAGTGATCCATGTTCTTTAACCAATCCAAGAAAGCTTGTGCATCGAGCTTACCATCAAAGGTTGGTGCTTCGATCTTAATGCTCCTCAGGTATTATGCATCTGGATCAGGCACAGGTTGAGGTGGGGGTCGATGAACGATATGTCTATAACATTGACCTTGCGGAGGTGGAGTTGTAACGCGCGCTTCATCAAGCCTAGCGAGCCTCTCGTTGGCTACATTTTGGAAGTCTGTCAAGACCTCACGGGTAACTCTACATTCCTAGGCTATGGCACCTAGTTGTCCTGCTAACTCATCGAATTTATTAAGGAGTACGGGATTTGTACTGCCGACATGCTGGACTCATTAGACGATTCACTACTCTCCTAATCGATAGGGTACACATGTGCGAATGGGTATGCACTAACAACTAAATGAGATGAATGGTATGCACTAACAACTAAATGAGATGAATGGTAATTTTTTATAACAAATAAAAGACTCAATTAAACTAATCTAGAAATAAATAAAAAAATTTCTAAACTAGAACCATGCTCTGATACAAAAAATGATGTGAAACAGGACAATGGGTCTATCAGAATCAGTGATTTAATTCAAATAACACATCATTTCACCAAATTTCATGATCTTTTGCAGGAATTAAATTCAAAACAACTAATATGACAGATGGATTTAACAAAGTTTGCATCAATAATTATGAATAATTAAATTCAAAACAACTAATATGACAGATGGATTTAACAAAGTTTGCATCAATAATTATGAATAATTCTCATCTCAATCAATTTAATTGTAATATTCATTATCATGCACAAGTTCTACAATCAATATCAAATTTTAACAGTCACATGCTCATTTACTCTCAACTCACAAATATAATCTAAACAGTGAATATATGATAAGAGTTTAGAGATGGAATACTCATGCAATTAACTAATAATAAAATGAGATTAACAGAAAAATATAGAGAAAACGAAACCTTCATCGGCCTGAACAGGCTCGACGTGAGGGACCTCTGGAGGTGGTGCGACGACGTCGAACTGGATGACGACGCGACAGCGAACTAAGCAACGACAACGGCGGTGACTGAGCGACGACGGTGGCGGCGACTGAGCGACGACGGTGGCGGCGACTGAGCGACGACGATGGCGGCGACTGAGCGACGACGGTGGCGGCGACTGAGCGACGACGGTGGCGGCGACTGAGCGACGACGGTGGCGGCGACTGAGCGACGACGGTGGCGGCGACTGAGCGACGACGGTGGCGGCGACTGAGCGACGACGACGTTTATGGAGGAAAGGGTGGCTGCTCGAGGTAAGGAGAGCAGGAGTAAGTTCGTCGGGACTGTTCGAAGTGGGGGATGATTGGCGGGGCTGCTCAAAGTGGAAGGGAGCAGGGGAGGAGGCGACGACGGAGGCTGCTAGAGGAGAAGAGCGGGGGCGGTTGTTTGGGAAAACGAAGAAGAAACAAGGGAGGGTGACGGTTGTTTGTGGAAGAGGAGCCAGGAGAGTCGGCCTAGGGTTTCACACTCGTTGGCCTAGGGTTTCACACCCGAGGCTTCACACCAATAATGAGTTAACAAAATTTTTCATTGATTCAAATCTTCTTTTCCAAACTCTGATTACAGCAATCTTTTAAAGAGAAAAAATTATAGATTCTGAAATCCCTCAGATCCCTCAAATTGCCACAACAGGCTCTACTACCAAATTTGACCCAAAAATTCAAAATTCAAAATTAAAATCCTACCAAAATAGAAAAACCCTCAAATCTCTCACAATTAAAACTAAATTAAGATCTAGTCAAACTTGTCAAATCTTCCTTATTCAAAACTAAAATAAAAGAAAGTCGAATAACAAATATGAAAAATTCTCATTATTGTCCTCATCACATTGACAACACACGCAGCATAAAGTATGTGAATATGATTATTCACGATCAAGAATTGAAGGAAGAGTTCAGCCATCAAATAAGAAGAGGTTGCTAAACAAATTCGGAGTTCAGCTTCACAGAATTTTGAGGCAATTCAGCAACCAGTGAAAAACATCTTCGCCTTCAGTGATACCATTTTCATAAACTTAAAGATTGCTGACAGATTTGGATACAGGTGATAGAACCCACTTAAACTTTAAGAATTCTAGGTATTTTATCTACAAAAATAATCTACCAAGGAATAATAAGTAATGTGGCTACCTCAATAGGCTGATTCCAGTGTTTCTTAACTCCTTGTAGATGGCCTTTCCCCATCACGGCAACTACTGAAGAGTGTTCCTTAGCAAACTTCAACAGTGATGCTGACATGTACCTGTATAGAGATTTAAACTTTATTTTCCCAAACAAAAGAATCAGAAAAGGAAAGGTAACAAACAAAGAGGACGCATGAGTGCACAGATTTAACTGTCTGAACGCATGCATGCATGAATATCCTGGTATTGAATAGAGCAATATAAACATCCAAAGAAAAATTAGAAATGCAAGACAACAAACAAAATGCTCAGCTTCTATTATAGCAAGCTAGTTTGTAGATCTTTAAGTGAGATATAGATCTTAACTGCAATAATTTATTACTTTGAATTAGACAATGGTTATAAGTATTTGAAGATAGCAGTGAGCCCAGAAATAGCTACGCGCCTTTGCTTAACAACACAGGTCTCCCTAGTTTCTGTTGTCTTTTATGTCCACAGTTATCCTGATATACTTTGCATTGGTAGATCTTGATGAGTAGGATACTTGCACACTTGAGGACTACGAGTATAAATTGATGCAATAAGCTGCTACTTAATAAGCATCACTATCTGTTTTGAGGTTGATCTGACCATATTCCAGAGGGAAACATGCCTTAATGAAAATGAGCTTAAAAAATAGCAAAGGCATCATGTGTAAGTTTTTGAACGTCTCAAAACAGACATTATATAGATAATAAACCAATCAAGTACAAACTCCAGCCAGTTCCTTGAGTGCGTATATGCATACGACCCGATTCAAGTCCGCTTGCACAGACCTCATATTACCACTTGGAACAGCATAGTGAAAAGCACAGGACTTGTTAGATGTTCAGCAGTAACTTAAAGCTGAAAAACTCATCTTGTCATGATTATGACAAAGTGGAAGTTTGGACTGTGGAGACCATGATCTCTGAGACACTAATAATTCAGAGGACAAAAGCATCTAAAAGATCAAAGAAATTGAACCAGAAATTACATAACTCAGTTATGTTGAGACCCACACGGTGAAACAACACAAAATCATTGATGGATAAAAATTAAAGAACAACATCCTTAATATTACTAGTGAGCAAAGAAATAGAAACAAGGAGAAAAAGTATCTACTAACAGATCTCTCTCATGTACGAGTGTCTCCATAAGAGAAGGGAATTCCTTGCTCAACTCTTGAATCATGAGGGTTAACATGTCAACATTTTCCAATTCCGCCAACTGACAAAGACAATCATAATCAAGTTATAATCACATTGAAACAAAGAAGTGGGGAAAAAATTCTCGGAGCCAATCAAAAGTTACACTGGTGTGAAAAAAAGTGACCCACTGATTTATCAATCTACAGACTTAGGAACAGAAGTAACAACCATAAACTGTTCTCCTTAAAGATATCAGCAAGTAAGTAACTTAAATATTGTTATGCCTGGTGTCTAATTGAATTTTTGAACCAATTGATATTCTTCTGTTTTAATTTCACAATAGACAAAGTACAGCTGGTTCAAACATAACATGGATACGAAATATTATTACTTGATGTATTATGCCCCACACAGAAGACTCATGACTGGATCAATAGTTTGGACAGCTAATTTCTTATGAAGGACAAGCATTATGGGCCCGTGGTATAGTCTGGAGTGAAGGTTGTATGTTTAACAGACTAAACAAAGCAGATCTCTAGTGTAGGTATACAAAAGGACAATAAAAGAAGAATATTATCTCAAACAGGAATAGATCAAGGTAGTCAGATAATTGTACTATTAGAATATATGTTCTAGTGTGGGTATACAAAAGGACAATTTGTTCTATTAGAATATATGTTCTATTCCCTTTTGTTCACTCTGTTCTCGCATGTTACTTCTCATATTGACTCCTCTTTCTTCTTACACTGGCTTCAACCACAAAAGCCAAAAACAAAAATTGCTTTGACCATCAAGCATAAAGGACAGATGGACGTGGTTTAAACTTTAAAGTTCATACCAAGTATTAACAATAACAAGCGAAGCAAATATTAGAAAGAAAAGACTTATTTGATGTAGAGTGTATGCATACATGCGTATATGTAAAATTAGATGTTCATCTTCTTTGGTTTGAAGCGTAACATACATGTGCGTACAAGTACACCCACATACCTACATGTGTGTATGCATGTTTATGTATAATAGTGAGATTTTTTTTTTTGGTTTGTGTGTGTGTGTTGGGTGGGGGGGGGGGGGGGAGGATATGGAGTCAAATTCTTCCAATTAGAATTTGATGTTGAGGCATTCATTTTTCTAATCCACTCAAGAGAAGAAAAAAGTCACTGAAACTGCTATATAACAAAAAAAACAAGTAACTTAAAGTTTTGTCCATGCATTAAGTACCAAATAAATGTGAAAACGGTATGTTTCTTAGCTCTCCACTTCAGGGAATAGAAACTTTTGTTTTCAAGTATTTCATGTTTGATCTAAACACTTCAAAATCCTTACAAACCAAATTTATGTTAGACCATTAACAACCTACATTGTTAAACTAACTTGCCCTTTATGTCGTTAAATTTGTGTCTTACGATAACTGAATAAAAGAACTTCAAAAGTTAATGCATTTAGACACATTAAATAATGTGGATTATTTTTAACAAAATGAATATTTTATATGAGTTATCAGGCATTGAAGTTGAAGGGAAAGAACCTTGCCTCCTAACCCTTACAGAAATATCCTAATTAGCTATATAAAGGAGAATCTGATCTGTGCTTTAGGATTTTGCATATCTATATATCAGCATCAAGTCATATTCAATTATTGGAATCTGTAACTGCACAACCTAGACAACCGTTTAGAATTTATCTACAAGATTAGTTCACCTAAAAAGAACTGCGTGTTACCTTTATTTCCAGGTGATAACAGAAGTGATAAAGTACTAAATAAAGTTGTCCAAGCATTATAATCTACATAGCACCATAAACTACTGACAATGACCCAATAACAAAGAAACTGACCAGTTTATTTAGTTCTTCAGCGCTTGGCAAGCAGACTGCTTGGAAAAGTGTGTAGAATATAAATTTCATCCGGTGCCACCGAGACATTTTCCCCCATGTTCTTCGTAATGTGATCTATTACAATTAAGAATAATCAATTAGTCATGAATTGAGTAAAACATGACACTGGACAAAGCTAAACCCCGTTTGATTTTGCATATTGGATATAAATGGATTGGCAAATTGAGAAGCAGAGCAGCTATATCAATAAGCGGGGGAATTACAATAGCAGTTCAAGAATGCAGACAATAAAAGCAAGGATCAAAATATGCACAAAATTTCAGCCTGCATACTCCCAACAGATCAAGCGAAAAAGGAAAACAGTTACTAAGAGGAGTTTGAAATAAATCATATAGCAGAAAAGACTATCAATTGTGTGCATGATCTATATTTGAACTCATTGATGCCCTTAAAGTTGAATCCAATTCCCTATAGAAAATATTTGATACTTCTTCTAGACCTTTCCTTTGTCTAAAAGTGGTGCTTTCTTTGCACTAGGTTAAACTGCGTGAACAGTACAGTACTCCTACTAGATTACTGCCTTCTTAGACTTGTGGCAAGCACAAGGACATGAGACCAATTTACAAGTCGGTATAAGGTTTATAGCTGCCATAAAGTCATGTTCTCCTTCATGGAGCCACTTGGTGGAGAACCAAACCCATTTTGCTGGGAAGAAGGCTTAGATGATGACATAAGACCTCTTCTAAGCAATGTTTTAAATGTCAGATGTCGGGTTCATGTCGGATGGCTGAAATCCATGTCGGATAGCGAAAATCGGGGATATATCGGGGGACATTGACTAAATATCGGATTGTCATATCGGATAGTACGCATATGTATAATATCATGTCCTAATTGTAATCTAAGCATTCATAAGTTCAATATAAGCATACTTGATAAATTCTATAGACTAGACATATAAAAAAGTAAATAATTTATGGATTTGGGTTCATAAATACTTTCTATCAAGTTCATAAGAAACGCTTAAACATGAGAACGGGTCAAACGGGTTTGGGTATTTATCACTAAACTCGAACCCGATAACAAAAAAAATCTTAAAAAAAAGTACCATATTGGCCGATTTTTCAAAGCTAAAAAATAGGCCGATCCGATTTGATCCTGAAAACCGACATACGAGTTGAAAACGTCCATGTCATGTCGGTCAAGCCCTCAAACCGATATGTCGGTCGACATATCGGACATGTCGGCCGACATTTAAAACCTTGCTTCTAAGACCAAATATTTGCAAGCAGCCAGCTATACAAATAAGCAATATAAATCTTAAAGTGAGGACAAAGGCAGATTACATATAATTTGAAGTTCGCTTCTAGTGCATAAAAGGGACTGTTCTAATGCTTCATTTGTAAGATGCATACATGTGGTAACGAAGTCACACCAGCAACTGAATGTGGATGAAAAGATGAGTTGGGTACAAGAAAACTCATACCATCATTTTCAATTAACCTCCACTCTCATAATAAAATACTATGCCAGTGCAGCCTTAGCCCTAGCAGAGGAAAAATAAAAAGAATGGCATACAACAATTTATATCAATTTAAGAGCGAGGTTGACTCAATCATAAACTAATATAATAGGTTCAAGCACTGTACTTGAATAGGACGATCCCCAAGTATAACCTTGGCTCCATAACTCCTTGCTTCTTCAAATGCCACACGGAACTCAGCACCAGGGAATGTTTCTAGCTTGTCCGCAACCTGAAAAAACCCGAAAGAATATCTTAACTCCAAAAGGATTGCGAACATTAAGAATAGTGGTTGGAAAAATAAGCATAGAAAGCATGCCTTCGCAAGAAACCAGCTGTATATAATTCCAAACATGTTCATCCTCTTACTCTTCCACATGTCAATCATTTCCGACATAGTAGGAACCTGATGAAAAAATAAACTGTAACATGAAAAATCAAAAGATCAAAATATAAATTATATGTTAACAAATCAAGGAACATGCCAATTAAAAGGCCAACTTTTTTAGCTTGAATGTCACTTAAAAAATAATAACTATTTAATGTATCGTTGTCAATTTTGACATATATGATATAACTAATCAGGAAATTTTATTTTAAAAGGTCCAGCTCTTCAAACTCCATCATTTTTAGATAAGTTAAAGATACACAAATAAATTTATAATCAAGAAAATGTCAATTACCATGCATTTTGCGAATTCATAAAAAATTATCATAAGTTAAAATATAAGCACATTATATGTCATTTTTGGATTTTGGATGAACTAACAAGCCTATGTGCATATGCATGTATTTGATGCAGGGCAACTTCCAAGAATGTAGATTATTTTTGGATTTTGGATGCACTAACAAGCCTATGTGCATATGCATATATTTGATGCAGGACAACTTTCGAGAATGTAGATTAAGTCAACTTTTTCTCTCTTTCACTTACAGTTGGAGAAACTAGTTTAGATGAGATACTTGATTTTGAGTTTAGATTGGAGATTTGAAGGATTAGATATTTGATTTGAATTTAGGATTAGCTATTAGATTTGAAATTTGAATTTGACTCTTTCTGAATTTAGGGATAAGATTTGAAATTTCACTTTGAGTGTGTAATCTACAAATATACCTTGTAATATTCATATGATTTTGATTTCAAAATGATTTTGAATTTAGGATTAGCTATTAGATTTGAAATTTGAATTTGACTCTTTCTTAATTTAGGGATAAGATTTGAAATTTCACTTTGAGTGTGTAATCTACAAATATACCTTGTAATATTCAGATGATTTTGATTTCAAAATGAAAATCAACAATTAAATGCCTGTGAGTTGCATATTAGTGTGAGGCCAAATCCAACCCCTTGAAGATGTGATTCCTTCTCTTTTTCCGTTAGGGTGTGATTCTCTAAACTTCTCATTCTTTTTTCTTTTCCTCAAACTGCCGCTGCTCTTTCTTTTCTCTCCCCAAATCCACTATCCAACCTCCTGCAGCAGCAGCAAACTGTACAACAGCAGCCCAAACAGCCTCTAAACACTTCTGAACAACAAGCTAATAGCAAAACCAGTCAAAACAGTCCTTTTCTCCTTCCCAACCTGTTCCCCTACATGTACCCTCATTTTATTATTTATATATGGTCTGCTGTCATGTTCTCATGCCCTCATGTGCATGTGTCTTACTTTTAAGAATTAAAGGTTGCATGTTTTTAATTTCATGTACATGAAGAGGATGGTGTTTTATTGTTCAGCAGAGCTATTACGGTTTCGTGGAAGCTATAAAAGCTGAAGAACGTTAATAGGGGAGGAAAAAGAGATACAAAATGGGACTCCAGAGTTGCGATTTTAACAGAGAAGCCTAAGAAGAATAAGAAATGGAACATTTGTAGTCCGGTAGGCAATACCATTAAGCTGCTACAAACATTTGAGGGGAAAATCCAGCATCAGTGAGGAGACGACAAACAAATATGACAAGTGACAATTTGCAAAGATTTGGGTGCTAAGCTCTGAAGTCCCCAGGTGCGCGTGCACAGAGACACACACATACACACATAGACGCGCGCATGGATGCGTGCACACACATACAGACATACATATAATATCTATTCCTACAATATGCGAAGAATAATCAGACATAATGCACTAGCTTTACAATAGAGGATATTATTTGCATGTTTTATTGATCCTGTAAGATCGTTGGTCATTACAAGCAGGGGGAAAAGAATGGGGATGGAAATTATGATAAATTCCATTATTAATTCCATTACCAAAGGTTTAATTTGCAATTTTATGTGTATCATTATTATATGCTTTACTATAGAAATTGCTAGAATACCTGAAGAGTTTGTGGGTTCAAAATAGAAACTCGGCTCGGGCACAACTCCAAGAAAACAACCTAAATTCAACAATTACCAGCAAGAAATGCAGGTTAGTCTCACAGACTTGAAGAGTAACTAGAGATTACTATAGCAGGCAACAATCCTGCTAAATGATCCATCAGTCAATAAATTTATTAACTGAGATTAAAAGGAAAGCACCTGAGGTTTCAAGTAAGTGATTATAGCCTGAACTTCTTTGCAAGATTCCTGCAAGAACATCAAAAAAGCAAGCTTTCAATTTTCTTAGAGACATAGTATCAAAAAGCCAGGAAATATTGCAAACTATTCACTTGGAAACTGAGAAAACAACTCACACTCATATGGAATCCAAAAACACAAACCCATTTTTCACAATCATAATGCAGCAAGACAACTTCAACCTACAATTTTTGGTGCAAAATCCTAGTTTTATAAAAGTTGCGCTCATGTGGTAGACCCCATCAAAGTTGCAGATATACTGTCTTTTGCTATCTTAATCAATGGCATTTTGATGTTTACCCTATTTATTAAAAAATTATAATTTCAAAATAACTATATAGATGCTTATATATTATTATATAACAATTTTCCTCAATTTAATTGTAGAAGACATGACCTTCTAAATTCTTTGTGTAATAATTTTCTCAATTCTCAAAATCTAATGGAATATCTCCATCAGTTTGAGCACGTATTCCGCGCATACAATAATGAAATCATGCACAACCATCTCCATATAGAGTACTATACAACGGCTATGAGATGTCACTAAGAAGGCGTGCAATCTGAGAGATGAATGCAGTAAAGCAAATAAAATATGAAACTTGGAAATCTAACTAGCTCCGAACAATAATTGATGCTTCAATAGGAAGCAAAAGAGAAAGAAAGCAAAGTTAACTAATTACACTTAATTAAGACAGGTCCTCCATGACGCTTTTATAGAGGGAATAAGATATGATGCCATGGATGGAAGTGTGGAAGTATCAGAATTAGGTTCTAGAAACAGATGCACATTATACACGATAACTCTGCTAATACATCAAAACCTACAATAAATATGGTCAAATATATAATGGGTAGCATGTACCGAATTACTAAACTAACTCGGAAAGGCTTAAAATTAATCAAAGCAATCGTCTGTGGAATCCAAGAAAAGAAAGCAAATATAAAAGAAGCTTGAGTGCCCTCCCTTTTTCTGACCCCAGTAATCTAGGAATAAAAATCTTCAGCTTTCTTTCAGAACTGGGAGCAGGATGGCCGGTTAAGCTTTTTTAGAATATTTGGTTTGAGTAAAAAAATTACATTTTGATGTAACCCTAAAAAATGCTAGATCAAAGAAAGGCTAGAAAACTATAGGAAAATGTAACTAATTTTAGAGCAACCAACTGCAACTCCACATATCAGTAACCAATGACGAGTTAATAATTTCTTATGTGTCAGAAATAAATTAAAAGAAAAACTACTTACTTCATTGCACTTTTAGTGATTTCAGTACATGCATAGTAAATGAAGTTAAAAAAGAAGAAAAGAACAAGTTAGAGACATAGGAGAACTTGACCCCAAAAGCTACTTTTTTTAGGTAGAGAACCCAAATATCTATAAAACTCCACATAGTCAATATGTAAATAGACGGATAGAAAATTCTTGAACAAAATTCAACTAATTACAACCTTGAAACAGTAATAATAACAAATTATTAATCCAAAATTTTAGACCTGCCAGATAACTCTTTTTTTTCCTTTTTTTTCTTTCTCTTTTTCTTTTTCTTTTGTTTTTTCTCCCTCTCACGGTTTACTTTCCTTATGGAACTAACACTCACATCTTTCTCCACTTGAAACCGATGTGCATTTTGGTGTACCCTTTATGCTAGCCATTTTCTTAACCAATCCTCCTAAATAGTACAATCAATGTATCTGCAGCACATGGCCAAACTCTCTTACAATTCTCTCACCTTATTCACGATTGAAGATTGCTGTAATCACTTAGTACCCACACTACCCGTTTTCATTTCAGTAAACTGACTTATTAGTGCCATAGAGATTGGTTGGTTGTATAATCCTTTTACAAAACACCTTCAAAGCTTGTATAAAGATTAAAAAATTGCTAATCCAAATCAAAAGTAGATTCATCGCAAAAATGGCAAACTGGATGTTCTATGTTACGAATGGTTAATCCGCCAGAAAACAAGACATTAGCGACTGGCTTCTATATCCAGCAACTAAAATTTCACTCTATGAACAACAACGAAAAAAAAGAAATGGAGTAAAGCATGAGTGCACCTAGACTACCTCGCACAGAACAGAGAAAGGTTAGTAAATACCAAACTTAAAAACACAAAACCACATTTCGCCTCACTTTCAAAGAAAATAAAAATCAATTCTTTAAATAAATCGCACATCAAGAAACATGAACAATTTACAATGTTACTGAAATCAGATTCAAAATCCAAAAAAATGTTCGCAGCGAAGTTACATCAACCTCAATTCGCTTCAAAACCGACACAAATCAAGAACCTGAGCAGATTTCAAATACATGATAAACCCTAACCCTAATTTAAGATCAAGGATTGCTTACATTAGAAACGTGAGCAGTTCCAACCAAGTAAACGCTGCAGGATCCGCCCTCGGCCGACGACTCGCACTCCAAGAACTCGACGTTCTTTGACAATTCTTCCGGTAAAACCCTAGGACCAGGGCCAGGGTCAGGGTTGGACATCGGAGCTTCTTCTTCTTCGTCGGTTTCGGATCTTGAATCAGGCATCGCTGGCTCCATCACCGGCGACAGAGACCGCCGAGATATTTTTCGCGCCGGAGCTGCTGAAAGGATGTTAAGGGAATTGAGAGAGGGGTATTATGGGAAGATATTGAGGAAAATTGGTGGATTCGGAGGAGAGAGGACTTTTTCGGATCAGTGCCGATTTGAATAATGGAAGGATAATGGAAGAATCGGAGATAAGAAGTAGTTATAGAAGTAATTTTTAAAATTATGAAGTAGGTGGAGTGAAAATAGTATTTTTTGTTTTATACATTTTTAGAAGTAATTAAAGTAGAACTTTTTCTTCTTCATTTACTTTTCTTTTTGGATAACATTTGAAAATATTACTATAAAGTAATTAACACATGTTGCTTCTACAATTTTAAAGCCACGCCACGTCACGTTCTTTAATTTGATCTAGCACGTTACAACCAGTTTTATGCCGCTATGACCTATCGCCACTTAAGAGTAAGAAGAATCATTCAACCACATAGCTTTAAAATAATTGTTTACCTCTCATTTACAATGAGACTCCGGATGACCATAAATTTCTATGAATCTCCAATTTTCCTCCTCCCTCGCTCCTTTGATCGTAACATCAACGTGGTATTTAGACAAAGAATTAATAGATAAACTGTTCTCTTCATCCCAAAGAAAAGCTGGCCGACGACAAATTACTACAAAATAATTGTTAAAATTAAGAGCAATTTTATCAATGATGAGTTGTTAGAAGTAACTAATAAAGGGCATATTAATAAAAAATTATTTATTTCCTAATTAATATGTATTTCAACTACTTCCGAGCTACTTCTGAGTATATATTAATAAAAAATTATTTATTTCCTAATTAATATGTATTTCAACTACTTCCGAGCTACTTCTGAGTATTGAGGATTGGAAAAATATTTTGATGTATTTCAACTACTTCCGAGCTACTTCTGAGTATTGAGGATTGGAAAAATATTTTGGAAGTAAGAATGACACGTAGGCACCACATAAACGTTTAAAGAAGTATTTGAATTAAGTTTTTCAGAGAACCAAACACATTTTTTTGCTTGAAAGTAACAGAAATAGCCTTTATTTCTTTTACTTCAGCTACTTCATAATTACTTCCGTGCAAACAAACAGACCCTAAACTAAAAACCATAGGAATGCCTATGATTTATCAACATCTACATAATCTCTACAGTTTGTGAATTTATTAGTTAATAGTCACACTCGTCTCATAAAATCTATATTCTATATCTAAAATATCTTCCCCTTGAAAACGCCACATGTCAGCTCTTCCCCTTGAAAAAGCCACATGGCAAGCCTCTTCCACCACGTATCAATCTCTAAAGAATTCATAATTTCGGTTCCCAACATTATTTATTATTTTGAAAATAACAATATTTTGTATCTTCAACAACGTTCCATCTTCTGCTTCAAATTCCTATGACCTGCATTTATTTTGGCTTCTCAAATTTAAATTCCTCATTTAATATTTTCCCTCCTCATCCCAAATTCAAATATTTGATCTTTTATTACTTTCTGGATCTTTCCCCTCCTTCCACTTTATTATTATTATTATAGACTTTTCCTCTTTCTCTCCTCCTTTATTTGGGATTCGGGTTGGAATTTGTTGAAGATGATGAAGAAGGGGAGCAGGGTTTTGACGATGGATTCAGAGGAAGCAAGGGCTCGGTTCAGGCATCAGGCCCTTTTGCATGATTATGATGAACTGCTCATGGTAATAAAAAATCTTTTCTTTTTTATTCAGATCTGCTCTTTTTCTTTTAAAAATCTATTTTATGTACATATGATCCGTTGTTATAGGGTTAGGAATTTATTTGCTTGATGGGTTATCTTTGTTTCTTGATTCGGAGATCTAGGGTTTGTTGTTATGTGCAATTTTGACTTCTCCATGGTAGGCATCAATTTGGGTAGTCTCCTTCGGTTCTAAAATTGAAGGATCTTTTCAACTTTTTTAGCGGTGTTCTTATATGTGTGTTTTGCATTTATCCTTCTTGATGCGTTTCTGAGTTGATTCTTTTTAGGTCCAACTCTTTTTGATCTTTTCTCAATATTTTTAGGTCAATTTTTTTCCCCGTTGTTGTACCAAGTATATCTATTTTTTAACATATGAACAAAAGGGCTTTGCTTTTATACTCTTACTGTGCAAGAAACTGAAGCAAAGAAGAGGAAGTTGCATAAAACAATTGCAAAGAGACTCAAGCTAACGGCTGAAGTCAAGTACTAACATAGATAAAAAAATTTAGAGTTGTGGATTTTGAATATTTTGCAGTTTAGAGAAGGAAGAGGCAAATTATATCCTGCATATTGATATTCTAGAAAAATAAAAGGAAAAACTAGAAGGTAATTAAGCACAAAATTGTTGTTTTTATTTTAAATTTATCTATGTTTTTTTCTCGTCTATGCAAATAGTGATCTCGTTACTGGTCTAACCGACCTCTTTTATCTTGAAAAGTGTTCAACTTTCTTGTATTATAATTAATCCCTATCCATTAGAGATTCTATCATTAATGGTTAGAACAATAATGCAACCCCCCAGCCCATTTCAATTAGAGCTTACGTTATTTATCAATAAAATCTGCAAAGGTCCGATCAGGAAGAGTATTACAGGTTCGTTTCACTTTGTTTTTTAATCACTTTTACTATTTTGTTTGTACTGTACCGATAATGCCAAAAACCTTTCCTTACTAAAATTTTTTTGAATCTCTAATTATTACACAGTCGCCAATACTATTCGAGTTTGTGAAGGTCCAGTTGGAAAGGGTACTACAGGTTTGTTTTCATCTTTCTGGTAGTTTTATCTCCTTTAATTGTGTGATTTTAGTGGATTTTTTTAATTTAATTAAGTCTTTAACTAAGGCTAATGCAATTGGATTATTAATTGAATTCAACTTTCGAAGTTTGTAGGTAAATTGGCTCTATTAATTTTTTTAATTACCAAACGTTAACCTATATTTAAAGGTAGTGTTGCAGTCTTGGTATATATAACCATTATTTGCATTCTTATATTTCATAGCATTTACAATCAGCCAATATGATTAATGTGAATGATTCAAACAGGCTTCACATCTAAATTGATCAACCTTTTTAAGAATTTTATTCTCTATAGGTTAATTACAAAATATGCTTAGAAACGAACATTTTATATTACCTTTGAATTGATTGTAACATAAGTAAGCAATTCATATCAATATTAGCCTTAAAAATGAAATTTATTTTCATATTTTCAAAAGAGATTTTTCCCTTAAAATGTGTAATAATTCTCCGATGTGCAATTATTTAATTATGTTGTAGGTCGCATAATATGATTCTAAGCTTGGCGCTTTGCTAAGCACTCTTCATGGATTCAATATAGGATAATAAGTTTCCTTTTCATTTTTTTTGGTGATTTTATGTTGTTTGGGAATTTTTTTATTAAAATGTGTTTTTTTAAAAAAAAAATAGTACAGGGAGTCCTTTTGTTCAAAGCATGTGGAAGTTCTTAAGAGTGTGTAGGCTGAGATAACATTTAAGGTGACTGCAAAGGTTGTTGAGAGAGGATTGTTTCTATAAGATGGAGAGTGAAGTAATTTGATTTATTCTTGGAAAAGGGTATATTGTTTCATCCATTAGTTGTAAGTTTGTGTTATATTTTTTCTGTATAGATGTCTTTTCTTACTCGTTTGGAGTTAAATCCCTAGAAATTATTTAGTTTTTTGTATTTATTTTAAAGTTAATCTGAACTTGGATACCACAATTATTTTTACACAATCAAAGTTAAACTTTTGAGAAGTTTGAGATCTTTTTGGGCAAAAAGTAAGTTTGGGGTATTGAGGTTCAATTGGTATAAACTTTGTGATATTAAAGTGTAATAACCTTTTGTTTTATTTTAGTTCCTTCTATCAAGGTTTGAGAACATTAATTATATCCTATTAGATTATTTTTAATGATATTAATGCTCTTTTTCTTACAAGCAAATTAACTATTTTTGTCGATAAAAATCCTTAAAAAAATCATATTTTAAGTTATTTTATGAGGCGGAGGTATGTGCCGTTGGTTTTGGTTATTTGTTTATTTAATTGTGAGGTACTTTTTTTAGATTCGGGGTTATTTGTTTATTTAATTATGTTAAGAGGTACATTTTTATAGACAAATTCGCCCTTTCTTTGTCATTTTATGAGGTACATTTTTTAGTTATTTGTTTATTTAATTATGAATATCAATAAATGATGATTTGAGTTTGTGTTTATATTGTTGTTTGCAAGATAAATATTCGAAGTTTTGAACGTTGTTGTTGGCTTGAACGCTTTGATGCATAAGGCTTAAATCTGCTGGGTGAAAAAAATGCAAAGATGTACATTAAATATTTGTAAAATTAAATGGCTGAAATATGACAGTAAATGCAAGCTAACATGTTGTTTTTGGCTAAAATTTGACATAGTTGATTCACTCTAATTTGACATAGTTGATGCTAATTAGACAGATTTTAAGTTTTTCCATGAAAATAGCTCATCCTATCTTAGGTTGTCATTTTTTCTACTGCTATTTTGGACTGTTATGGTTTTTTTCTACATATTGGTAGATTGTTCACTCTTTCATTAACAAAAGGAAAAAAAATGAATACAAAAGGCAAAGATAGAATTAAAGATTTTTCTGCCTATACAAGTGTATTTTTCTTTTCTTTCTATATAATTATATTTTTCTGTTTCAGATATGTTTGTTTCTTTGTTTATCTTTACTATTGGTAAGTGATAAACTCAATATAATCTTACTAGAATGTATTTCTCTTATATTATGTTTTGTTATTTTTCTCCAATGGCAATGCATTTCACTTCAATATTTTTGTTCTTTCTTATGTTTATATAGAGTATGTGAAAGTTGCATTTTATTTAACTAATTGAGTACTTCTTATGCCGTATTCTTATGGTTTGATGATGTTCTTAAATTGCAATCATATATAATTTTCTTACAGTGACTTTATTTGATTTAGCTATTACATTGTCTCTTATTTTCGTCAGGTGGATGTCATACACCCCTTATATGATAGGTATTATATTTTCTTTGTTTTTTGACATTTTACTTTTATTTTACCAATTTCTTTGGAAAGTTATCAACAGTTTAAATATTGATATGACTCGCACAAAATGTTTAAATATTATTTTCCCATGTTTACATTTTTCCAAACCTTTC